TTCAAACAAAATTATTAGGCTTTTTTTTCATTAAATGTAGGATAGTTCACCAAGACACAAAAATCCAACAAACTAAAATTTTTTCCCACATTGACTTCTCTATATATCTTATAGAATTGCTTTTCAATAGGTTAAAATCAAGTGTACTTGATCAAGATTTTCAAACATGATCGAGTACTTTAAGGAAAGTGACTAGCAATAAACTTGTTAAACTCAATTTTAAGTGTCAAAAACTGGGACCCATAATCCAATTACAAACTTTAATTGACCTTTTCAAAGGTTATTGACTTGGTTTTATTCCTTCTGATTGATCATGACGTTTTGGAGTCAAAATTAAGGATTAGTTCCAAGGAAATCATCATAAAGTAGAAAACGAAATATATAAACATATACATACATACATGTATACATACACACACACAGATATATATATATATATATATATATATATATATGGCCGGCTAAGTTAGTCCATTTCAGTAGCAACCATCAAGTCTCTCCAACCTGCCAAGTGGCCAAACATCAATTTACTATCAATGACAACAAAACACTGTATGGAACTGCAGTCTTATAAAATGGCTTGAAATGGTGTAAGGAATTAAGCGCGCAGGCCCACCTCAAATTGGATTAAGCCCATTAAAAGGAGACAATTTCACGGAATGTGGTCACCTTGATTGTGAAATCGTTGACCCACAATGAAAGAGACTCCAAAAATAAGTTTTTTTTTTTTTTAAAAGAAAAATAAATAAAAATAACTTACTTGTGGCCGGTATTCTCCAATGAGATGAAATAAAAATCAAGTAAAAATTGACAGCAGAATAATGACCTTTGATTCAATCATGTTAATTTAGGCTTCGTTGATTTCACTGATTCGAGTTTTTTATTCTAATTTTGCTACGGTTAAAAGTTTTTATAAAAAGTCAAATCTAACATTTTCTACTATATTTAAAAACTTTTACATAAAATTATATCTAAATTTAAATTGAAAACTCAAATAAACGAACTAAACGAGGTTTTAATCTACTTCCAATCAGCCATTACAGTTTTGCTTTATTCTTATACGCGCAATAATCTGTTTAGCGGTTCCAATGACCTTCCCCAAAAATTATCATTTTCATTTCTAACCCAAAACGAAAATATTACAAAAAGCCGCTTCCAAATAGACTTTACTCCCCACATCTGTATTTATAAATTCAATTACATTATAAAGGCCTCTCTACGTCATGAACAAAAGAAATCTCAGATGAATACGGGAGATCCTATAGGGGAGGAAAAGGAATAAGATAACAAAAAATTATTGATAGGATATGAAAATTAGAGATAGCAATAATTCCAATAGAAATAGGGATCCGCTTCGAACATGGTGGGGATGAGAGATAATAATTAAGGGTGGAGACAAAATCTTGTCCTCAAATTATGGCGGGGCGGAGACGGAAAAACTACTCTCTACCTACCTTTTTCTCGATATACATATGTTATATATGAATAAATATATGCAATATAAAATTTTCAACCAATGTCAAGCTTTTCTTTCTTTATGAGCTCAAGTCAATCAGGTGAGGAGCTATCTCTTCACATCCCTAATTTGCTTCCTTATTTGGGGACCCTGCAGTGGAACATTTTAAGAACTTTTTGTGGTCTTTGCTCTTGGAACATCAGCCTTTGTGGTTCCGCTTTGTACTTTGTAGAGGGCCTAATGACTTTAATTGCCTCTCTTTTCCCAGTTCTTTGAACTCATTTTCCTTGCTTGAATTGAAATAATAGAGGTGAAAAAGAAAGAGAACAACTTCTTATTACTCATTTGTCACTTTTGGGGTGTCTTTAATCACATCAACGTCCTCATCACCTCAAGCCATTTTGCCATTTAGTTCATATTTGTCGGTCAATTATAGTGAAGGCAAATTCTCTCTTATTATATATCATTATCAGTTACACTAATCTAACATGACGGGACCATTTAAGAAAAAATAAAAAAAAGTTTCGATTTGCATTAACGTAGTCGAGATCATCCAATTCTAGATGTTATATGACGTTTTTCTCAAATAAAATACAGGTTTAATCCCGAGCCTAGCAAACTCATGCTACATCTCATCCTACCCTACTCCATGTCGCTTTGACGTTGTGGTCATTTGCTTTAACGATATATGCTTGATGCGAGTGTTTGTGCTAGCTTACTCATTAGTTTCTGTTTTCTCAACAACATTTTGATTCAATACCATAGCACATGGTGGGATCTGAATAGCTCAATCAATAATTGAACGATTGTGCAAGTTCAATGATCTTTTTTCGCCAAAGTGGTGGTCCTTTGTGGGCAATCCAATACAAAAATCTACCTCCTTTTCCAATCACCGGACGTACCCTCATATAAATCAGGTGAAAGTTACCTTCTTCACTGAGAAAGATAAGAAGGTTATTCTCTTGAGATTTTCCTAACTCCCAAATCCCAATTCTTTACTATACTTGGGGAGTGCAATTTTACGATCATTGAATTTCATAAAAATTGCAAGTAATTGTTAATTTAGTATTAACGTAGGAACAATAGATAAAGAGAGAAGAAGATGAATTTAGAAAGAAAAGACCAATTATTAAGTGTTAATCGTCAAGGTTTAAAGAGAAAAAATACAATTAGTAGCTCTAATACATAAAAACAAAAACTAACAAAACTAAATAATAGACTACATTTAAGTGAATACTAGATAAAACAACTCTAGAATCTTATACTGAGCAAGAAGTGGATCCGTACAGGTTTCAGGACCTGCCTCTAAGGATATGATTCCCATATCCCGATCTCTATGGCCGCCATGCATTGTATCATTTCTTAAAATATTTCATTTTAAAAAATGATACTCTTTAAAATCCCATTTCCAAAATCATTGGAAACTCAATAGCATTATTGATGCTATTTCTTTTAAAATCATTTTCTTTAAACATGTTTTGTTTTAAAACATGTTGATTTGCCAAAATCATTTAAAATAAGGCTAACAAGGATATGGACAAGAATATCCTACCTCTTGGCAATTTAATCTACGGATAACTTCACGTTGTCCAACCGTCTATTCTTGAAGCTCCACGGCTCGCTCTGAACCTCGACGAATCCATTTGATTCACCTCGATCTGCATGCACAATACTGGTAGAATTTTCAACGAGGTCGAATTGGCGCAACCGGAGGTCACCGTTGTGTTTAGCACGTCGAAATGAGTCAGGATATGGTCTCAGATCTTCGATCGGACGTCGTGAACCTCAAAAACTGAATCCGTACGGGTTTTAGGACCTGCCCCTAAGGATATGATTCCCATACCCCGATCTCTGTGGCCACTATGCGTTGTATCATTTCTTAAAGTATTTCATTTTAAGAAATGATACTCTTTAAAATCCCATTTCTAAAATCATTGGAAACTCAATAGCATTATTGATGCTATTTCTTTTAAAATCATTTTCTTTAAACATGTTTTGTTCTAAAACATGTTGATTTGCCAAAATCATTTAAAATAAGGCTAACAAGGATATTGATAAGAATATCCTACATCTTGGCAATTTAATCTAAGGATAACTTCACATTGTCCAACCTTCTATTCTGGAAGCTCTACGGCTCGCTCTAAACCTTAACGATTCACCTCGATCTGCGTACACAGTACCGGCAGACTTTTCAATGGAGTAGAATTCGTAACCGGAGGTCACCGTTGTGTTTAGCACGTCGAAACGAGTCTGGATATGGTCTCAGATCTTTGATTGGACGTCAGAAACCTCAAGAAGTGAGACTCGCCAGAATCCGGCCACTAGCGGTGGCGGGGGTTGCCGGAGGGCATTTATGTGGCGGAGTTGGGTCCTATACCCCCTAAATCAACCATTCTAAGTTCAATGGTGTAGTCAATTTTATCAAATTCCGCCTCTATCTACTCCGATCAAACCCAAAAACGTCGGTAAAATCTGGCGACTTGGTTCTCAATTCTCCAGCAATTGAACCTCAAAATTGGTTGAGGGCTTTTGTTACCCACTTCCTTCTGAGTGTTTTGACACCAAAATCACGACGATCCAATGGTTGGATCATCGGAACCACCCTCCACCCAAACGGCGGCGGTGAGCTTTGATCTCCGGCAAACTGCGGCGGATTCGGACGGCTAAGGATTGCTTCTTGCTCTACGTTGTCCTCTAAGTCCAATGGCACCAGTAGTGTCAAAAACGGAGGTCGGAATAGTGAACAACGGAGAGGAGGTGCGGCGGCCGAAATGGGCGGCTCCTGCGACGGCGCTCCGGTGAGAATCGATGGGTTAGACAACATGAGTTTTGTTCGTCTCGTCGAGCTGAGTCCATAGGGACCGGAATCACTCCGATCAGAGGTCGGACAGCAAAGTTATGATGGCAAGAAATTCTGGTAGTTTTCAGACATTTCACCGACAATTGCGGCTGTTTCCGGCAGAGATGGAGGTCGTGCGGCATGTCAACGAGTCCAGCTCGTCAAGAGCTTTCTGATGGTGTGGCCGGTGTCGCGAAACGACACCGGAATCTCATTGGTGGTAGGTGGCCGGCGTGGAGAGAGAGAGTAAACGTGGGAGAGAGAAAGTAGAGAGAAAAAGGAGAAAAAAAAGAAAGAAAAGGGAAAAAAAGGAAAATGGGCTGTATAAATTTGATAATTAAATTTCAAAGTTAAATTTAAATAGAGTATAGAATGACCCATTATTTATGTTTTGAAAAATTAGTTATCAACACTTAAAACTTTTTGAGAGACAGTCGTGTTAATTTTAAAATAATTATTTTTAAAAGAGAATGGTCATTTATATGATAATTATAACTTAAAATCTTTTATTAATCTTATATTAATTAACATTAATTATCGAATTTGATTAATTAATCACAATTAATTTAACGGGATGTTACATTATCTTTAAAGATTTGGTCAGCCTTGGGCCGAATACCCTCTATCAAATACTGTTTAAAGCCCAATAAGGCCTACACAACGTATTGGTTGAAGACAACTTATTAGATATTTTGGAGATGGTTGTCTTAGTGTGTTTGTGGAAGACGTGTGGGTGCCGGTTTTAGAGAGAGGGAGAGATAGGGAAGAGCATAAGAGCCTCTTGCCGTTCTTCCTCATGTTTGCAGGTTCTCCACTGATTCCGGCCGGCCATCGACGTTGTTCAGATACCATTAACAACAGTTTTCTGCGTCCAAGAGGTGGAGGTAATCCTAGAACCTCCACTATTTACAACACATGCTCAAACTCCATTAAGATTGATTTGTGGCTAGATTAGGTGTTTTAATCTGTTGAGGTCATTTAATTTCTAGCAAATAGTATGAGAGTCAATTTTATTTGGGTTTGGAGTTGTGTTTTTTCTGATTTTCGTCCATATAGTTGGCTAAATACCCAAATTTTTGGTTCTGTTGTTTTCAGCTCTAGATCAATGTTTATATTGAGCACATATATTATGAAACATATTTTGGGTATTTGTTTGAAGATCCTTTGACAAATTTGGCCCAGTTTTGTGCTTAAATTTTCGGATTAAAATTAGTGGGTTCAAAACCCAAATTTTTCAAACCGAAATTTTCCTCAAATGGATGTTTGTTGAGGCTTCAAACTTCGAATATATGTTGAGCACAATGTTTTTCCTTGAGTTTTATGCGTTATTTTGACTGTTTACATGTGTGTTTGGAGCTTCAAAAATGGTCGTTTTGGGTTTTGATTTTCGTTAAACATTTTGAGTGTTTTTTGGGCCATTTGATGTTATGGATCGAAAGATGATAGAATTATGAGAAAAACCCTTTTGAATCATCAAAAACGGAGTTCTAGAGGCGGGTCGGGTCGCAGGCGCATTCGGGTTGTTTTGACCCGTCTGGAGGTCAGGGATGACAAAAACGACAGTGAGTTTCATTTTGCTACGAAAACGACGAGTCATTTTGTACTTGATAGTTTTGTGTCGTTTTCCCTTATCAGCGAAAACGAAAAGTCGTTTTTCAAGGTGAAAAATGAACAAAAAAAATCTCAGTTTTGACCGAACTTTAACCGGAACCTAAGGGCACATCTGAAGTCTGTTTTTACCGTTATTTTTGTTGTTGCGCTCCATTTTTTATCTCCTACCCATTAAAATGATTTATTTTGGGTTTGGACCACCAAAAAATTATGTTTTATGATGCCATAAAATTTATATTATGTTCTTTGTTATTATATGGCATATTTAATTGTGAGAACTCGACAATAGTGAATGTTTATGTACTCGTCTGTCATGAGTCTAAACATGTCAAATTGTCTGCGTGTTATAGAGCTCTCCTACAAAATTTAACTTTTTTTTTTTTTAAAAAGCTTTTGGATACACGCCCTCCTTATGCACGTGAGCTATAAGAAAATATTAATTATTTGTTTATCTCAATGATTTTTCCTATATTTTCTAGATAAATTCATTCTCACTATTTTAAGACCTAAAATTTTAGGGTATGTTTATTATTCTGTATTATATGGTCATTTTTATTTATTCTCCCACAGTTTGATATTTCGATGAGTAAAATTTAGATATATAATATGGATATTGATTCGACTTTTAAAATGCTCATTTAGTGTTTATTGTTTTAATGTTTAATTAATGTTTGTTGTGACATATATATAATCGTTTTAGAGTGAGAATGAAAATTTTATTAGAAGCTCACATGTTATTATAAAGCGTTAGTTGTAAGTTTATTCATTCCTTATTTATTATTGTCATTGTTATTATTTGATATTTTATTTTGTGTGAGTGTCATGTTTTTTGTTTATGCTATTCAAGTGGGAGAATGTAAGTATTATTTGTTTGTGGATTGGAATAATCACTAAACTCACATACCATAGTCAAATAATAGATTATAGGTATTGTATGGATAAACATAATTTGTTAATCATGTTAGGAAAGTCCATTCGGGTAATAGAATTATTCAATAGTTTTATTACTTAGTAGGACGGTTGAATCTTGTTAAAGCTTAAGCTTGTTATTTTTATCCATGTTTTTTGCTATTCGATTATTATTTGACATTTTTGGTTATATGACTGTTGTTTTTGATTATACAGTCAAAGTGGGAGAATATTGTGAATAATTATGTGTGGACTTGTATAATCACTAAACTCATGTTATGGTCAAATAATAAATTAGAGTGTTAAGGATAAAGTTATGTATTACATATTGCTAAGATCCATAAAGACAATTAACTTATCTTGTCGATAATTAATTGTTTGGTAGTATGCTTAAACTGGTGAAGGAAATTTGTTGAATGTTATGAGTCGCACAATCTTTACTACCTTGTTGGTGGTGGATTTGATGTATTTAGTTATGATGTTTGATGAATTATCCTTACTTGCGAAAGAGTCCTATTTTGCTCAGAGGAATCTAGCATGCAATAATCATGTTGCCATGGATCATTGGGAAATGCTAAGTAAAGGGCAAATTGCGTGATCTTGTTTTACATGCTTATTATTGGTTGCCCTTGTTGTTTTCTTTAGCTTTGAGCAATCCTTGTATCTCTGTTATCTTAACGTTAAATGAGACAAGTCATTATATAGGGTATGAATCTTTTAACATTGAAATGGACTAACCTTGAGAGTTGATATGTTTTCTAGCTCTACTAATGTGTTGAGAAATTCTATGTTGAGTGGGAGTGTAAGGAAAGATTCAAGGCGGTGGTACCTCAATTTGGATGAGACTGTTACTAAAATTAGCTTTATGGAGAACGTTGTTGATAAATGCATATGTGTAAGGTCAGTGAGAGCAGTTGCATATTTGTGTTTTTTATGTTGGTGACAATTTGCTCGCACTTCATGATTCTGGCCTGTTTGTTGAGACGGATAGCATGTTGCCTAGTCACTTTGGTATGAGAATCTTGAAAAAGCCTATTATATTTTAAGCATGTAGGTTCTCCATGACAAGGTTAAGTACAATTCTAGTTGTCTAAGAGAACCTATATTCCTCATATTTTCTAAATAGGTTCAATATGCATTCTTGTTCTCCTAGTAAGCAATGTTTGTTAACGTGACAAACTCTCAAATGTGTAATGTCCTTATGTTAAAGTATGAGAGATTAGATAAAACTGTCCCTTATGCTTTTGTTTGGCAGTCTGGTTATCCATAAGTATGCACATGTCCTATTGTTGTGTTTGTCGTTGATGTGCAGATTCGATACTTGAGTGATCGTTGCTATTATTACTAAATTAACTGAGAATGAATACAACTAGATGGGTATGAGCAATTATGCCGGCTGATCTTGTGATGCCGATTATGCAAGCTGCATAGATTATAAAATATCCATGTTTGGATATGTCTTTCATGATATGAGGAGCGACTTTGTTGAAAAGTGTCGAGGAGACACTCGAAGCATCCTCGATTATAAATGTGGAGTATGTGGCATGTTGTGAGGCTATTTTATGTGGTTGCAGAGCCTTGTTTCGTCATTAGGAGTAATTGACTCCATTTTGAATGACTGAAACTGTGTTGTGAAAGTTCTAAAATAATATCTTTATCTTAGAACATTAAGAGCATCTCTCACTTAAGTGTATTGATATTGTGTTCTATTTTGTGAAACAGAAAGTGTAGAAGGCCTCAGTTTTGTTGGATACGCATCTCTCTCGGGACTGTAAAGATTCCAAAGTTGTATTTAGTTGGTGGTAATTTACTTTCTTTTGTATGTGACATGTAGTTATTGATAAGAATTGCTTATGCCTAAAATAATACATGTATATTTATAAATCTGTCACTTTACGTGTGATGTGGTGTTGACACCTATTTGGTTAGTAAAGTGACATATTGGAAAAGGAGATATCCGGTTGTTAGTCTCATTATATGCATTCTTGTTTTTTATCCATATGATAAAGTTGTCGTCATGCTTTGATGAATTTCTAGCGCCTGATTATGTATAATGATTATATCACGTCGATACGTTATTATGCACGATTATTTTAGGCTTGGCTTATACTTATTTTGTAATGAGTGAATATTTATTGTATAATTATGTCGTCCAAGTAGGAGATTGTTGGAATATTTTATATGGACTTTCATAATCATAATAATTCAATATATTATAAATCAAAGCATATTGTGGACGACATTGTTATTGAGAATTTAATTATGCATGTATGTCAAATATTGGTTCATATTAGGATGAACACTTATTTTATTAACTTACTTGAGGCTCATGAACTCTCTCTATCTCTAAATATTTAATCAGCCTACTAGACCAAATACCTTATATCAAATATTGTTTAAAGACCCACATAACCTATTGGTTGAAGACAACTTATTAGATATTTTGGAGGTGGTTGTTTTAAAGACTGTTTAGTTTGTTGATTCGAGTTTTTAATTCGAATTGAAATGTTATTTTATGTGAGTTTTTTACTTTAATAAAAAAGTTAAATGTGACTGTTTCTGAAAATATTTTACTGTAATAAAACTCAAATTTTAAACTCGAAGTGATGAAATGAACATGACTTAAGTGTGTGCGGAAAACGTGTGGGTGCCAATAGGGAGAGATAGGGAGGAGCTCAAGAGCGTCTTGTTGTTCTTCCTATGTTTGTAAGTTCTCCAATGATTCTGACCGGTCATCAGCATTTTTCTACGACCATGAACGACAATTTTCTGCGTCCAAGTGGTGAAGATAATCCTAGAACTACTATTTACAACGCGTGCTTCAAAATTCCATTAAAATTGAGTTGTGGCTAGATTAGGTGTTTTGATCTGTTAGAGGTCATTTTAATTTCTAACAATAAATTCAAACCAAATCAGAATAAACCAATGAAAATAATAACCCAAATGTGTACGAAATTTACCATTAGAAAACACAGATCATCTACAAACATTTTACGAGATTTCTAAACCATACAAAACACCGGCGTATTGCTCGACCCCGTTTTCAGCGAAGTAAACTTCTCGAATCTTCTGGAACGCGTGCAACGTCAGCAGGCTATCGGACCCGGCCTGGTGGCTCTTCCCGATGGCCCGGCCCACATTCAGGGCTTGGCACACCCGGTCCAGCCCACCATAGAGGCTCGCGCAGAACCTCATCAGGTGCTTCACGTCGAACACATTCGGCCCGAAGAACATCGACACGAGTCTCGAAAACTCGCCCAACTCGCTCGGCAAAACCCGCTGAGTCAAAGCCTTAACCAGGTAACCGAAGTCGTATGCGCTGTGGAACGTCACCCAACTCACTGAGTCGTTCAAGACGAGTCCCGACGTCATCATCAACTCCGCGAACCGGGCGGAGTCGATCCCGCGCTCGCGGTTGCGTTCGAAGTCGATCCCCTGCCGGCGGAGCAACTCAACCGAGTCGTGAGCGTGGGCGTCATGCGCCACGTCGAAGTCCCTGAAGTTGAACTCCCAGATGTAGACGCTCCCGGTGCCGAGATCGGGGAGGTTCCCCTCCGCGTCGGCGAGAGTTAGCCCGATCTGGATCAGGTTCAGCCGGTCGACGTTCGCCTTCAAAACTCGGTAGTGCGCGACGGACTGGGGGATCCGATCGCCGGGAACGGCGACGTCCGGGCGGACCACGACGCCGGGAAACTCCGTGTCCATGGAGATGAAAGGATAATCATCGATCACGGATCCTAGCAACCCGAACTCGTAATCTAAGTTGCCGGACCACACCGATCGTATCACCACGGGTCGCTTCTTCCGCCGCGGAGATGGGGGCGTCGACGGCGGCGATTTTGATAGGCACATCACTTAGGGTTACGATGACCAGATCCGAGTGATCGCAAGGAAAATTTTGATTTTGAAAATTGATTTTGGGAAAGAAAGGGAAACAAAATTTTTATAGAAGAGAGAGAGAGAGAGAGAGGAGGAGATTCTGAAAGACGTGGGTATTGGGTAACTTGTAATGAGGCGGTTTGTTAAGAGAGTATTTTCCTTTTTGAAAAAATTATATTAATTATTTAATATTAATAATATTTTTTAGTCTATGAACTGGTATTGTTGGGAAATTTATGTTTGTTGATTGATTGGAATTTGGATCTATGATTTCATTCCTTTGAGCAATTTGGCAAAGAGAAGTTTCTTGTTTTGTCATACAGTGGGCTTTTGTTGGGATTTTGATTCGTCAGAAGCATGAATATATGAACTAAAAGACAAAATGGTTCATTATTGCAGGGTTGTTTCTTAAAGAAATCTGAAAAAAAAAAAAAGGACAAAAATCTCATCCCTTTTAGACTTGTATTGTTTGCAAAGTATGTTTGCTTTGATCCATTGTTCTTCGACAATATTTATGGTAAGGCACGTTATTTTATCGTATAAGGAGATATTGTTATTTTAACTGTAGATTAACGTTTTAACGATGATTAAATCTATGGGTCAGATATTCAAAATTTGTGATGCACAACACGTAACTATATACTTTCACAAATTTAAACATTGAAAAATTAATTTAACAGTCAAAACAACACGTACCGACAGAGTAAAAAGACCTGCCCCATAAATATTGCCTTCTTTTGGGTATTTGATATATATATTTTATTTATTTGATTTGATCATCTTATATTTGGAAGATAACTTAAAGAGGCATATTATGGTAAAGATAATTAGTGGAGTATTAATGCATTGGTTTTCAACATGATCACTTTCAACTCCAATAAAATGCCAAAAACAAGTTTGGTATTTTATGTCGGCGGTGGGATGATCATACACGTGTAAAATGTGAGGAAGATGAAATGAAAATCAAATAAATATTGGTGAGAGTTGTATTTAGAACTGAGCTCCGAGTGAGTCATTTTGCTTGCAAAGGCAGCAGCCAGGAAATGAGGCGGAAAGTAGACCCGAACGCAAACACCAACTAAAAGCTCAGAATAAATAAATAAATAAAAGCCCAGAAAGTTGGCTACTTTCTTTACCGATTACACCCATAATCATAACTACGGTATTTTTTAAAAAACTTTAAATTTAATTTTTTTATTATAAGATTTTTCTTTCACATATACAACTCAAATATGCACCTCAAATATGCACACGTCCTATTGTTAACTTGAGTTACCATTAAATTTTGTTTTCAAAGTGCTTTTTTGCATAATATTAACAAAATTGACCCGACTGGTGTTTTCTCTTCCCAGTTTTTATATCTTTCTTTCCATCATATTCAGGAAAAAAGACGAGCATGGAAGATTAAGCTCCAAACTAGATTATATTAGAATATCCCTACTTTGGAAAGTTTCTGATTCAGCTTCACTAGAAAAATAATACCTGAGGCACCACCTTATTTTACCACTTTCCTTTCAACTCGTTTATTTGGCAATTTCATGTCACGTAAGATTTGAGATATTTACTTAAAATTGGCTGAAAATTTGTCAAATTATGATGAAACGAAAAAAAAAAAAAAAAAAGCAATAAACAAGGTCATGCCTCAAGTATTATTACTAATAAGAGATCATCAGTTTCTGGCATCAATGACTAATTTAATGAAATGAGTCGGACGGATTAACCACGGCGGAACTTTTTTTTTTTTTCATACAATCCAAGATCAAATCCGCGCCATCCGAAACCCAGCAAACCACATCACTTTTCACGACTCAAAAGTGCTTTCCAAATTCGCAACATTAACACTTTTTTTTTTTTTTTTTTGATAAGTACCATTAACATTTTTCTTCCTCGAGTTAAAAAGGAAAGAAAGAGAGCAATGGGGCAAAAGAAAGGCAAGTGATTTTAGTACACTGATAAAGCTAGAATGGATACTAGTTAACAGGTTTTAATATTTGACACACATAAAATCCCATTAATTAAACAGCATCCCTGAAATGTAAATCGACAAAAGAGGAGTACAAAGCAACAAGGAAGCCATGCAGAGGTGGTAGAAGAAGAAGCTTTTGGGGGGCATTCCCCTGTATGTTCTAAACAGGATTGTCACAGCATTACAGACTATATATTGCATATTGCAAATGCAAGATGATCCATGATATTGTGTAAGATCTTCTTGAAAGCTAAAAGTAGGTACCTTCTGGAGGCTGAACCAACTTCCGGTTATGCGGGGCAGCCATCTCCTTCTTCAGCTGTGTCAGTATGTCTTCCATGGTGTACTCGCGCTGCCAATTCGCAAGAAGTCCGAACTTCTTGGGCTCCACCTATTACGATTGAAATGAAACTCAAAATTTAGCACCCAATTGAACAGCCCTTTCGCATGAAACACAAAATGTAATGGTGCGGTGGTACTCGCAATTTCAACAGAATGAAAATTAGAAACAAACAATGCTGAGAAATGGATCAGAAGTCGCGTCAAGAAAAAGGTAATTCAAGAGACAACTACCTAAATGGCACAACGGAATTACAAAACATACCATCCCAGATTCATGGTTGACACAGGTCATGTTGATACGTGAATGAAAACGAACACTTGGTGGCTTCTCAGGGTAGTCCTTATCACAGAACAGCTTCAGCTGATAAATTCGACCTTCATGCACAGTCTAGAGAAGAAATATAAGGTAACAATTGCACCTGTAAGCAACTTTAGTACTAGTAAAACCATACAGAATCTGAGTAACCATTTTCAAAGAGATGAAGATAACACAAGTCAACCATTTACGTAAAACGACAATTTTAAAGCATGATTGCATAACCATTTTAAAAAAGTAAAACTGAATGTATTACATTGTGAGGACCAATTATGGTGCCAGTCCATGAGCGCATGTAAATGTCATCTCCGTCATCCATTCCATAGCTGACAGTGCCATCTCCAATGCCTTTTTCTCCCCGTTCCAGTTCCTCCAGCAGTCTAAAGTTCCGAGGGACTGCATCACTTAAACCATTTTAGATAATGAGTTAAACTGGAAAGAAATAGGCCAAGGTGAATAACTTAATTATTAGCCTCAAGATTACCCAGTTGAACTGGTTTAGTCTAACATCCCAAGAATTACAATCAACAAAGTCTTCTCATAATAGGCAGATACGTTCAGATTAGGGTCAGTAATATGGGTCACGACACGAACAATACGACTCGAAAATGACATGTATTTCACGGATTAGGGTTGAGAAAAAAGAAATTTGAGTCAGAATTAGATCGACCTGAAATTGACAAGAAAAACAAAGGTCAATTCGGGTTGGACCCGCCTAACCCAAACACGACATGAAATTCGTAAAAAACTATATATATATATATACATATTTTTCATTACATATTTTAGATTTTATTATGAACTTGTGATATCAAGATAGTTATACTCAAAATCTTATACTATTATTTGCTTAATTTTGATGGATGTTATTGTATTTTAGTGTGTTATGAATTTTAAGTTATTTCTAATATGTAAAAAACTAAAGAAAACTATATAATTTTCGTGTCACGAGTCATTTTCGTGTTGTGTTGTGTCAACCTGTAAAGTGATCGTGTCGTGTTTGTGTTGCGGTTTTTAAAAAATTTCATGTCACGGGTCGTGTTTGGGTTGGTTGCAAATTTAGAAAGAAACGATCAAAATACGACACAAACATGACACGTGACACGAATAGCCACCCCTAGTTCAGATGCAACCAAATAAAAAATATATTGTATTTTTACACGACTCAACTACCTCCCTCATAAATGATGCCAATGGAATCAACATAATCGATCCACCTCTTTCCCCTGTTTCCCAGACCAACAAGCTTCAGATTGTTTTTTAAGAAGCACCAAGTTCAAGAACCACAAAGTTTTAACATAATTGAAAATTCCTAATTCTACTTGTGGTTCAAAATCCACATAATCGAATCCTCTACCCCAACTCCCAAATTCAGGCACAAATAGAAACCAGATCAAATGATGATGTCTGGTGATGTAATGTCAAGAATGTATAAATACATGATAAACACAACCAATTGATAACTCTAACCCGAATTTGTTTTGGTATTTGAAATACCCTTTTCTCACAAGCTCCAAAGAACTACATGAGGATACACAGTACACATTAGTTAAACACTGTAATGCAAGAAAAAAATAAATAAGACTTGCATCTTCTTTGCAAGTGTTACTGATTTAACCACTGGAAAAACAAGACAAAAAAATTACAGAACTTAAAGAGATTAACCAACATTACAATCCTTCAAGCATGCCCGGCATATCCTAGTTTCCAACCTGTGTGATAGAACATGGAAATTACAAAAATTGTGAAAATTAACCAACAAATAGATTAACACCTAGACACAGGGACACCCATCCGGGCATCGTATTTAAAGTCTTCATGGCATCAAATTCGAATCCAAAGACCTATGGTCAAATCCCAACTTTGCCAGTATTGGGGAGGAATTACGGGATTCACTGAAGATTCTCTCTCGTTCTGTAACCCGCCGATCAATTAAAAATAAAACCAAGTTTAGTACCCGCTACCCAATAACTAATCGCCCCCCTAAACTATCCTTAAACTTCCAAATTCCAAACAGTCAGGTTAAAACATACATTAAAATTTCAAAACAGCAACTCTTGCAAGTTGCAACTGCCAACACCATGCCAATCCACAACACATGATTCCAAATTCCAATAATACATGTAATGAATGAAACAACTTCGACAATACACATTCTAAAATGGCAACAAGAAAAATTAAGATAAAAAACATATATATAGAGCACAAGATCCACTAAAGCAAAAGGCAAGTCAAGCTATTTCGGTCAATGAAACTAATAGAAACAAGCATCTTTGCATCTATAAATGCTCTTATACATCTACCGGGAATAAAAATCAAATGAACTTTCAATTACAATATAAGAATCCGCTCAATTTCATGACAAAAGCTCGAACAAGACAACCATAAATTACAATTAAATTCAATTAAAACAAAACAAACCCAACAGCAGAAATGAAAAGATATATTTACATATGTAAACCCAGCAAAGAAATAAGCTATTCTTGAACAAAAAACCCACAAGTGAAAAAAGAAACAACATCGTTAAAGAATTCGACAAAAAGAAACATGCAAGAAAATAATTAATCAAAACCCATTAGCAGATTCGGCAAAAGTTGAACAAAAAACACGAGATCGAAGGAAAAGAAGGAAAGAATTCGTGATGGGTCGAGGAGACTCACCCACGACACTCGATCCTCCTGAGCCAAGCGTCATGGATGATGATGATGGTGATGATGGGATTTGGGGGGTTTCCTCAGGTGGGTTTAAGGAGATCCGATCGAAGTGAGAGATTTCTCGGGGTTAGAGAGAGAGAGAGAGAGAGAGAGAGAGAGAGAGAGAGAGAGTCAGAAGGGGAGGTTTGAGAATCTCGGGAAAGGAAGGCGACGAAGGCGATTGTAGGAATAAAGAGGAAAACTTTGAGGCAAAGAGGGATAGATAGATAGGTTAAAAGAATGGTGATACTGATCGATGGGCCATTATTATTATTATTTTTTTTTCTGAGTATTGTTAATTTGTTAGGCATATTAAGAATATAAAATAATGATATCTTATTATTGTTATTATTCATTTTTTATGGCATTATTATTATTCATTTGTGGTACGAATTTTAACTATTTCCATTTTTTCTCTCTTTAAAAATTCACTTCAATGCTTTAAATATTACATTAGTCTCACCATTCCTTAAAATTTCCATTAGTAATAAAAATTTTCAATGAGAAAATTTAAGATTTATCATCTTGCAATAGAAGAATTTTTAGGATTCCAACGACAAAGCTCCATGTACAACACCAACCTACAGTGTAAATACTTCTGGTGGAATTGGTGTTAAATCTATGTTTACCCACTTTGTTTAGGTATATTTTGTATGTTTTTAACGTAAACTACCTAGATGGTTAAATAAAACTAATTCAAAATTTAAAAATAAAGTGAGAATTTTTGAAGAATGAGGGCAAAAATAAGAATGGATATAAATAGAAATAATTCTTCTTTTTGCTATCAGTCTATCATCCAGTGTTGGTTTTTTGGGCACTCCATTTGATTTTTTTTTTAGTCAATTGCTCAAATATGTTTTTCTTCTGATTAAATAAAAGAATAAAACTTCTTTCTTTTTTTCTTTGACTTTTTTACATGGGACCCCCCAAAACTTTTTTGTGTTTAGGGAAGTGATCCTTGAACCAACATTTTTACAATCGACTCCCTAAATTTTAAAATTCATGTCATCGGTGGTTTTTTTTCATAACGTCCCCCAAATATTTAGTTAGACAATTTTTTACGCGTGACTTGTACTCTCAACGAATTGCTTGAAGCGACATCCTACAAATATGGTTTCGCGAGGGAGGCAATGACTCTGGAGACTTCATTTTTTAGCAAATATGGTTTCGCGAGGGAGGCAATGACTCTGGTGTCCAAAGGGGTGGCAGCTCTAGCTTCATGAAGGGTGGTGGGCTAATGAGGTGGAACGACCTAGCAGAGGGTTGGTGAATATATAGGTAGGGGTGACAGATTACGGCAAACTTGAGTTACAAAGGGGTCGGGCTGAGTGACAGCACCAAGGGACAACGCGAGGAGGCGATTTCCTCAAACAACTTCTCTCTTTTTCTCTCCCTCAATCTCTTGTTATCTCGTTTTTAGGCTTTTTTTTTTTTTTTTTTTAGTTTTTAAGTTTGTTTTCGATATTTTCTCTAAGAAGAGTCATGTGATTAACACATGTGCCATTCATCGAAAAACTGAACCTGTCATCGATTTGACAAGCTTTGCAATGAATTTTAAGTTCATGGAGTATTGTCAAATTTTTTTAGTACATCGATCAATCCATCAAATACGCAAAGTTCAAAAGAATCCCATACAAAAATGCATCTTTGTTGTAACTATACCACTTTCAGAAGTAACCCTAGCCTTCTTATTTTCTTCTATTATATTATTTCCTTTTCTTCATCCTTATCGTTTTTCACCATGTGCTTATAGTGAAGAAGCTCGCCCTTTAGACATATCCCCTTGGCTTGACTTCATTATATGATCCTCTTTCTTCTCCGCATGAGGGACTTCACGATTGGAGATTTTTTTCTCTGGATCTCCCATGCGTTAGGATCGGTAGTTTACTTAATTATTTGTATTTTTTTTTCTCTATTTGTCAATATTGGTGATTTGATTTTAGAATCTGAGTTTGCAAATTTAAATAATGTGTTTACAACTCGCTTATTAGTTTTTTTTTTTTTTTAATAAAGAGTTTGAAACAAAAAAATAGTAAACTGCAAAATGACTTTATTTAATACACAACCAAAAAAAAAAAATGAAGATTATGAGTTCATTAGGTTGATAAATTTATCTGTGAACCCATTTACTTGTAGCGAAGGTTTGAAATATTGGTACCTGCCGGTATTTCAGCAAAAATTTCTTTATTTAGAGTACTAATAAGGATATAGGAGTGTAGTGTGTATATATATATATATATATATTTACAGAATATCTTGAAATTTCTTTGAAAATTTCTGTAAATATTAATATTTTCACAGAAATATCCATTTCTGTGAAAAGTGTATTGTTCTCCACTTTAAATATCGTAAAAGGTTTACTAAAATTTTGTAAAAATATTGGTATTATTTCCCTGAAATTTTTGATAATTTTAAAAATTTTAAATTAATCTAATATTGTTAAATTACTTTTTAGTATGTAAAATTTAGGCCGTTCTTTTCACAACTTAAATTCTATCGCTACAATATTTTTTTTCATAAAAACTCAAAATTAATTTTTTACTATAGTATTTTTTTCTCATATATACAACTTAAATTCTCAATTTAAGTTGTGAAAAGAACAACCTTAATTAGATTATTAAAATGATAATCTAACGGTTAAAACCATTTAAAAAAATTAACAGTTAAAACAGTACTATGAGGACAGGTCCCACCTTAGATTCGTTGATGAGGTTTTTTGACCCACAGATCAAAGCGGATGAGGATGATTGGTGCAACACTATAGTTATCATGTAGCGCCGCAACACGCTGCTTGAAACAAAAAAAATGGGCCTGTTTGTTTATGTTTTCATTTTCATTTTTCACGTTTTTCGAGACTAAAAAATGAAAATGCAAACTGGAAATGTGTTTGGCATAAAAGTTTTTGAAAAACAAAAACAAAAATGTTTTTGTCTTTTCTGAAAAACTGAAAACGAAAAAAACCTGTTTCCATTTTCACATTTTCGTTTTCTGAAAACGGATTTCTTTTTTTTTCTTCTCTCTCTTCTACACCCCGCCCCCCCAACTTTAACCTTGAAATCTGTTTTGATTTCTTGATATGAATCGGTGCTTTGGATTGCACTGTATTGTTTATTTATTTGTTCACTGATTTGATAAGCAATTGCACTGTGTTGTTGATTTGATCGCCGATTGGGACTTTAAAACTCTTATTTAATAATAATATTTATTTAATATATTATTATTTAATATATTTAATATTATTATTTAATCAATATATTATTAATTTAAATATTATTACATGTTTTTAAAAATTAAACCACCAAACGCAGTTTTAATTTTTTTTAAAACTGAAATTAATATCTGAATAAAATTACCAAACGTATTTCAGAAATAATTCTAAAATAAAAATAAAAATATTTTCATTTCTATTTTCATACAAAAAATAAAATTATTTTAGAACCAATTTTAAACGCACCTAATATTTCTCATTTTCGACTGTGGATGTATTGGTATATGTACAGCCTCTGTTACTGTCGTTTCCTAGTCTCCAAGCACACTAATTGATTGATCGAGAATTTGACGACCCAAAAGAAACAAAGAGCTGAGAAGAAGCAAAAGGCCAAAAGTAAAAACGACTGCTGAATTCTAACTGGTACTTATGGGCATTCCTTTTCCTTTCTGCACTGAAAATAATAAGTGAACTTGTACTGAAAATAATCGCAGAGACTGAAATTTCTGAGGTTAAATAGAGAGAGAGATGCAGAGAGTTGGTTAAAAAACGAATTGGGTTTTCTCGAAGATAGGTGCTGCTGGGATTTCTTATCGCCTTCGTGGTATGTCTTCTTCTTCTTCTCGCCTAGTTTTGCTCTGTTGTCGATAAATTTAATATCTCGAAACCATTCAAAAGCCTCTTCGAAAGAGTTTTCTCGAGGCAAACATGGCAGAGAGCACGATAAAATTGAAACTCTTGAAGATGCTTTGAAGATGTTTGGTGAAATGGTCCGAATGCGTCCTCTTCCTTGTGTTGTTTGTTTCACTCAGTTGTTGGGCCAAATTGCCCAAATGAACCATTATTCTGTTGTGATTTCTCGATACAAGCAAATGGGTCTTCGAGGAATCCCAACCAATGTTTGTACTCTCAACATTGTGATTAATTGTTTCTGTCATCTAAACTCCATGGGCTTCAGTTCATCTGTGTTGGAAAAACTCATTAAATCCGGTTATGAACCAGACACTGTGACCCTAAATAGTCTAATAAAAGGGTTCTTGCTTGAAGGAAAGGTAGATGAGGCAGTTGAATACTACCGCAAAATGACTAGTGGAGATTGTAACCCTAATATCATTACTTTGCAACACATTAGTGAATGGTTTTTGTAAATTAGGCAACACAAGTGCAGCTCTTCAGTTGCTAAGGAACATGCTTCAAGCCTAATATATTTCCTCAAATACAGTCATCGACAGCCTTTGCAAGGGTGGGCAAGTTGTTGATGCCCTCAACCTCTTCTCAGAAATGGCCCGTAAAGGTGTCGTTCCAGATGTCGTTACTTACAATTTCTTAATACATGGAGTATGCATGTTAAGTCAATTGAAAGAGGCTATAAGGTTATATTATGAAAAGGTTGCTCGGAAAATGACTCGAATGTTCGGACTTTCAATGTATTGGTGGATATGCTTTGCAAAGAGGGCATGGCTACTGATGCACACCATATGTTGGATATTTTGGTAAGAGGCATTAAACCTAATGTGGTAACATATAATACACTTGTGGACGGTTACTGCTTGAGAGGAGAAATGGATGAGGCAAGGAAAGTATTTGATATGATAATTGTGAAGGGTTGTGAAGCTGATCTACATAGTCATAACATTTTGATCAATGGATATTGCAAGAATAAGAGGATGAGCGAGGCACTTGGATTGTTGAAGAAATGAAATCTAAGGGATTAATTCCAAATGTTGTCAGTTACAGTTCTCTTATTGATGGTCTGTGTAGAGTTGGGCGAGTTCAGGATGCCCAGGAGCTAATTTCCAAGATGCAAGATTGTGGTATGCTTCCAAATATTCAAACGTATGGTATTTTACTCAATGGCTTATGCAAAAATGGACGACTTGAAGACGCAATCTCATTATTTCGAAATATGGAAGAGAAGAAGTTACCGTTCAATATTGTGATCTACACTATCCTCATTAGAGGGGTGTGTAAAGCTGGAAATTTAGTAGCTGCAAAGGATTTCTTTTCGCAATTATCATCCAAAGGCTACAACCTGATATGT